TATGAAAAAAAAAAATGAAAGTGGCTTAAAATGAAACCAAAATTACTATCTCAGAAAAATTAGGCGACTCAAACTTTCAGTTAATGAGTCAGTAGGAGTCAGTAGCGAGCAGGTAAACTGGTGGAAATTGTCTTCCACGTACGACTCCCCCTCCTTGTTACCAGGCAACTCTGCTCCATACATCAATTCAGGTCTACTTCCACACCTGTCAGTCACAGTAATGCAACACACACATGCATGTACAAACGAATGTCCCCCGTGTTCGATGGCGTGCAGCGCTGGTGAACAACAACGTCAGGTTATACACGCTGTCGTAACTAATGAATTGTCATTAAAGCCTTTCTCTCCGTGTCTCTGTCATGACTCACTGATGTGCATTAAAAACAGAGGTGAGCAACACAACAGATGGACGCATGAGAAACACACGCCAACTGATGTGCATTAAAAACAGAGGTGAGGGAAGAACAACACAACAGATGGACGCACGAGAAACACACGCCGTCATGAAGTATAGGATAATGCAGCGATAAATAGATTCTGGTCGTTACACACAAAACTAGGAAAACACAAAATTTGTTGAATGTTCTATGTTTTTCCCTCCAGTTTTATCTTGATTCAAACGGACTCCACAGACTAGACATTAGGGTTTACTGTTTTTTTTCTAAACTGAATGAAGGTTTTAGTGTTTCCTGTCCATCTGAGTTTTGGCTCGAGGTGGAAGAACCGTGGAAGAAATGATTTTCAAACCTCAGACTGGTCACCCTCTGTAGAATAGACGGACGATATTTGCTCAATTGACTAATCAATGTTTACCTCATCTCTTAGAATACGTCATATTTACCACCAGGGCTAAAGCTGTAGCGTCACACTTAAGAAATCTGTTTTAATTAAACGTTGTCACACAAAGAAGGACGTCAACACACAGATTCCTAACAACAGGTCATTTTCTGTTGTTTCTCACCACCACTATCACGTGCTGGAGTCTGATTCTGTCACCAATCATCAAACAGACAAGAAGCTGAAAGAACATCCACCCACCCTGCCTCCTCAGTGGAGGAGGGCGGTGGGGGTCTTATATGAGTCTATCATGTGGAAACCAACAGGTCGACAGTAACCATGTAAAACATGTGGAACGACTGGGATCCTGGGGTTTTCTCTGTACTTTCTTTTGTTGTGGTGAAGTCTTTAAAAGTGGGATAAAACCCAAGTTGGATTTTTGCAATATTACTTTCTTTTGTTGCGGTGAAGTCTTTGAAAGTGGGACAAAACCCAAGTTGGATTTCTGCAATATGTATCATCCAACTTCACTAAAAAAAAGTATGATTTACATGAAAAGATGTAGCTTGCCTTTTAACCAGGCATGGACAAACTATGGCACGGGGGCCGGATGCGGCCCGTTCAACTTCTTTATCCGGCCCGCCAAACTTTTCCAAATGACATAATTTATTTATATAATCATTAGACTTCGTTCCAAACCCTGCAAAACCCATGTTTTCCCAACAGACGGTGTGGAAAATGTTAAAAGCATTTTAGCATTTTAGCTTTTACGCATGACTTTTACTGGTAATTTAACGCAGTTCACACAAAATTGTGGCCTGTGACTGAAAAATTCTGCCCACGCCTGCTTTAAACTAACTTTTCTAGGACTGTATCACGGGTATAAACGTTAATTTTATCTGTAATTGACTAACGTAATTAGTTGACACGTTGATAAACAAAATAAGACATCAAAAAGGGTTCTTGATTCTTGGGCTCTTTTTTTTTTAATTGTATAGTAAGTTATTTTTTTTGCTCTAAGAAGTGATATATTCATGGCGTCTCACCTGAATTTCTAACTGATTGTTTTTAAAGTGTCTCTTCTCGTCCTCTGTCCTGTTTGACCCTGTGTTACAGGTAAAAAAAAAAAGTCTCTACAGGAGACACCCTGTGGACTGTCAACCTGGAACGGCTGTTAAATTATTCATGACGGCTTTTATCCGTGTATTTATTCATCTGTTATTCTTCACGGCTCTAACAAAGACGGGTCAGTGTTTGGGCTGCAGTTCATAGAAAAGGCAGAGCGTCGGGCAGACGACTGTAAAGCCTGACGATAACTGGAAATAGATGAGCGTGAAAGTGGTTAAAGTGCATTGTGAGTGTGTCACGAGTGTGTGTGTGTGTGTGCGTGTTCTTACTGCCAGATTGTCACACTTTGGCAGCGGGTGGTCTAATACTGCCTGGCCTGCCAATCATTCTTACACAGGCTTAGTGCTGCATGCAGGGGAAGAATGTAAGACATATCTTCCACAGACATTCTCTCCTTCACACACTTATCCATTGTATGCACTTTTTCACAATGTGAGTGTGTGTGTGTGTATCTCATTTATAGGCAAATGACACACTGTGGTGTGAACACACTGAGTCTCATTAACTGTTAGGTTGTTTCCCCGTATTGTTGATTTCACCTGATGTGAATTGACCGTCTGTGTTCTAGTGTCCAGTTCTGCAGCTAAAGTTGTTGTTGTTTAAAAGCAATTGTTTTCATGTTCTTATTCATCTACAGCAGGTGAGTTCAAACTCAAACATTGTTAAAAAAAAATGACACACAAACGCAACACAAAAATAGAAAGGGACCAAAAATGCAAAGTAAAAATGATGTCAAAAAAAAGAAATTGACTAAAAACCTTTCACAACTTTTAAGTTTTTCTTTGTTTTCAAATTTGAATATAATAATAATAACTGATTTATATGTTTTTGTTTTATGGACAGAGAAATACGGAGCCAGCTGTTATTTTTAAAACACTGTAACAGACGTAAGTACATTTACAGTGAGCAGGAGTGTAACTTTCCATCAGCTGATAGAAGCATATGTGAAAGTTTAAAAATAAAGCTAAAAAATAGGAGTAGTAGGTAAAACATATATAAAGTAACCAGTAGATATAATGACACAAATCATGAAAAAAAAAGTTACCAAAAACTCTAAATGATCCATCTCAACATGAAATATGTTACAAAGACACCAAGAGAACTGAATCTGAAAGTGAATCTCATCAGATTTAACGGTGGTATTTGTATTTTTGAAATGATTTTGTGGTCAGCAGCGGTATTGCACCTTAAAAATTGCAAGTTTTGGACAAAACTGGAAACGTCTGTTTTCACCCAGTCTCTACTTCCTGTCTGTATTTGTTCAATATTATTTAATATATTCTTCTTTTTATAATATAAAGGAACATCGCAGGTATTACACGACCTTGAGCCGTTCCTACAGAATGATAAAAACTCCATTCAACATCTGAGAACTGCTCTGGGCTAATTCTACTGAATCCATACATATATTACTAAAAATGATGCACAGTTATTTTTTCAATGAGGTGTTAAAGCTGAGACTGTTGCCGTTACCATACCACCTCTACTGTGGCAACTAAGCAACAGCGGTAATAAATAGTAAGGAGGGAAAAAAAATCATGGAAAAGGTTCAAAAACAGGTTTTTTTTTCTAACATTTATTTATATTGGTGAGAAATGGTTCTTTTCTTCTCACCTCCCTCTACTTCTCCCTCAGACACAGATGTGACTGAAAGAACTCACATAATATTTACTGAGGAAATGAACCAAGAAGCAGCAGCGTTTAGGTTCAATATGTACGTGTGATTTCATTTGTATATTTTCGCTCACTTAGAAGAACACAATATTCACTTACAACGTGAAAAAATAGATGAGTTGAATTTTTTTATTTTTTTCCATCTGGCTGAGAAATTTTAAAAATACATAAAGGCCTGATTCTGCTCTATAATAATCCATGGTTTTTCTCTGAAAAACACTGACACAGTGTCTGTTTCCTCCTGTCTGTTCTTGTTGTTGCTCTAAACCATAGACGAAACATAAGTTGTTATTTGTACACAGCGCAGGAGCTTAAAAATACCATCTCCTCCAGTGGAGGCTTCAGCCTCTGGTCGGACCAGTCAGACCAGCAGTAAATTATTCTAGAACTGACAATCTGACTGACAAAAAATGCCAAATAGATTGTGAGGGACTGTAGAAAGAAACTGCATTAAGAAGAACTGTAACGACAGAGAAGCCAAAAATAAATACACGGTTCTGACGTATTTTTGGTAAGGTAAGCTCTTTTAGAGGTTTGTAGGAATGATGGCGCAATATAAAAAAAATCAAAACAAAATCTGTGTTGAATCACTTTACACCAGGGGTGTCAAACATACGGCCCGGGGGCCAAAATCGGCCCGCTTGGCAGTTTAGTCTGGCCCACTTGATGAATTTTGAATATATAAAAATATACACTTTATGTTCGGGATATTTTTTTGAAAAATTAAATTTCATTAAATATGGATAAATAATAATACACACCTAATATACTTCGTCATCTATGTTGCAGCTACAGTCACCTACAGTAGGGGCGCTAAGGAGTCGCTGTGTCACTTCTGTAAAGTCCAGATGTCCATCTACGTGAACAGATGTGACCGTGTAAAACTATTGTACAACCACAATGACAGACTGCCAGCCAGGATAACATGGAATTAAAGGGCTGGTGCAAACATTTCATGTCCAGTCAATTCACACCTAAATCCACACCACCTTCCACAGCTCTGAGCCAGTTACAGCAGCACGACGAAAAGCACTGCACAAAGAACATGTGTTTTAGGAAATAGAATCCTTGTCACGAAAACAGTTGTCAAATCAATCCTCATCAAACCCTTAAGCACAAAACACCACAGATCAGGAAACCGACCAATCAGCTTCCAGAGGAGGATTCCACTTCACTGACTCAGGCATTGATCATTTCTCTCAATCCAATCTGCCCCACCGTTGTCCTGCTGTAAACATAAACTTTGATCCTCATGGCAAACGCTGCCTTAATCCCACAGCGGGGATTATTCTAGGAGGTCATTTAGAGAGATTATGCCACCGGAGGAGGATTTGAAACGGATCCTCGGAAAGATTCAGGAGGGTGTGGCGAGAGGCCGGGAGGATAAAATAAAGAGGAGAAGATGTGTCTCTGTCTCTTACCTATATCTGTCTCTTTGTGGTTCTTGATGAGTTCAGCAAGCTCAAAGTTCCCAGCGATTATGGCAACCTGGAAAAAGGGACACAGGGAACAGGAAATGAATAAAAAAGTAAAAATCTAAAGAACGAAACAAAAACAAAACAAAACAGAAAAGAGTATCAATAGAATCAAAATAAAAAAACTGTACAAGACGTCAACAGACTGGCTCAGATATAAAGTGACAGTCAAATCTGTGTTTAGCAAAAAAAAAAACCTCTGCTGTCACTGAACGTTGTTGGAGGGAGAAGAATATAATGTTCTAAGAATTCCCCTCGAGATCCAATCTTCATGACTTTAATCATCTAAAGCCACAAATCTAATCATCTATGACACACACACACACACGTGTACTTGCCAAGATTTACACATGACAGGGTGGCGTTCACAAGTATGTAAAATCAC